TGATATCCAAGGTTGCATTTAGTTTGAAATTTGGATTATTTTATAAATGCAGTGAGCCCCGATAAATGCAATTTCTAATATTTCTAAAGTGCTTCTTTATAATGAACATCGCTTTCTCAATACTTTACCCGCTCTATAACGCAGTGAAGGAGCTCCTGTATATAGTAAACAATCGATTCTCGAGCCATCGATATCAACCTAATCAGCACCACTGCCATGGACAGCACCTGCTAACGTCGCACGTAAGAAGGTTTACCTTAAGCAACATCCTAAGGTATAGTTCGGGGAACACACCTAGGAAAGGTATACCCCTAGTTAAGGTGTATCTTTAGAGTCTTCGTAGCGCGCTAAGAGACACCGTTATCGGGAAACGCAGCCCAGTTCTCTGAAATTGCTCAAAGGTGCATCTCATGAACCTTCAGTTGGAAAGCATATATAGACAGAGGACAACACAAGAGTTACAGATTCTGACAATGGATGAACATCCAGAAAACGATCAGGGTCAACAGTCGAGAGGAAGAAGAGGAGTAAGGATGCATGGTGGAAGGGTACAGAGGCAAAACAGAGGAAGAGGCCAAGGACAGAGGCGCATATCAGATGAAATAAGGGCCACTATTGTAGACCATGTTGTCAATCAATGGCTGAGGTGGATTTTCTGTGTTTGCCTTTCTAATTTTGTATTTTTGCCTTTGTGCCCATATTTCTTTTCTTTTCTATATCACAATGACGTTGAATCCTATCCAGTCTCTTTCGATCACTATCCCGCATACAGTAATGTGTAAATTTTTACTTTTGAAATGGATATATGGCATACATAAGAAGTGAAGCCTTCTGCATATCAATACAGTAACTGTCATCCAAACTGTTGCCATAGTTTACATCAATTAAAAATGTCTGGCCTCACCACTGCCTGAAAATCTTGGTTCTGCTCACCAGACCTCACTGCTTTCTACACAAGACAAATGCAAATGCATTTCTACATCAAGTAAACTTAAGGTAGGTCCCTGAGATAAGAAAAGTGAGCTCTATTAAAGCACAGATATGCTACAACCTCAGCTGATATAATGGCTGAATGGAAGCTTATTTCTGCCATGAAATAAAAATATACAAAATGTAACTGCGACTTTTTATCTTACAATTTTAACTTTATACATTTATAAATTTATATTTCACAGTTCAGACTGTATTTCTCAGAATTGTGAGTTTATATCTAACAATTAATATCTTAATATCTCGCAATTGCGAGAAAAAGTCAGAACTGTGTGATAAAAGGTTGCAATTACTTACATTTTTGTTTTTACAACTATATTTTTATTTTATTTAACAAACATGCAATTCTACAACAAATTGCTCTGTTTTATTGGAACTAGCCTAGATTTTATAGTGGAAGAATGCAAATTTGCATAATTAAATAACATCAATGAAACATTTTGACCAGCCGCATTGAATGTAAGGGGCATTAAACAGATTTCAGTTATTTGTAAGGATAACAAGGATACAATTCCAGTTACTTACAGGGTCCAAACATGAGAAAAATCAGCAGAGAAAAGACAAAGAGACTTTCAGAGGTAAAGACGACGACTCTCAGATCCCACACTGCATGCTTAGCGTTTACTGAGGAAGACAAATATAAGACAGTAAAAATTAAAGCTTTGTTTGGCAAAAGAATGTCAGATGCTATTAGTGTTTGTTCACTCACTTGTTTTTAGTATCACTTTTGTCATAAATATGCTGCAGAAAGGAAAATAAGTAAATGACAACTATTCACAACAACATTAATGCCAGCAAATGTTTAATACAAGGATTACAGTAAAATGAACAGCCAGCCTCTTTAGCAGATCTCTGTCCATCAAAAGATATGTCTAAATATCAGAGTTTTGTCTGAAATCCAAAACCAGTCAACTTTGTCATGTCAACTCAGCTGACGGAGGAATCAGGAGAACATAAGTGATTGTAAAAATAAGTGTATTCAATAATGTCAGTTGTGTCTATCTTAATGCTCAGTCTGTCTTCATTTGAGCAGCACAAATTCAGCACAAAGTGTTGTTATATCATACAAAGACCACAGAGAATTACTGCTTCACAACATCATCCGGTGACGCTGAAAACATTTAGGTGGAGACATTCACTTATTCCTCTAACTTGACATTAACATTCAACAACAGAATGTAAAGAGCAAAGAACAATCAGAAATGGTAAGTATAAGTAATACATAGAATAGAGTAAATATTCCTGTATACACATGAGAAAAACTATGAAATAAACATGGAAATAAACAAATCAAGAATAACAGATGTATGTTCATGCTCATGAAGCTGCACATACTGACTGTTATTATAAACTCCAATGAGATCCCTCAGTCCTTCTACATTCTGAGTGACACACGACTGATCTGGTCCAAAAATAACTTAATATCTGGTCCAATAAAATAACTTGTTGGCCGATGGCTTGTTCAGGTCCTGTAGCTTTCGACTGATGAATCAGACTGTTAAGGATCCTGAGTGTTTGTGAGTGGCTTTGACAGTTTGGACTTTCTCATCTCTTCTAGTTCCTTTTGGATCTTATAGACCTTCTCGGCCAGTAAATGGTAATATTCATCCTGAACACAAGACATTTAGACATAAAAACAGGACAAAATCACCAAATAAAAATAAGGTTGAGGCATCATGAAATCATGGTTCAAATTCAGGCTTTTCTAGTGTAAATAAAGGCAAAAATAATAATAAATCAGGCTGAAATGTGGCATGAAAGCTTATGTGGTTTACCCTGCTGTTGGCAGACTCATATAAGTCCCCTTCAACTCTACGTGCGTAAGCAACCAAGTTCCCCAAGCGTCTGTCCTGCAGTGCTGCAGGGTCTGGGATGGGGAATATGGCTTGAACCCTACAAGAGCATTTAAGAAATTGAAAAATGCTCAAAAACAACCAAAGACACCCATTATGATGAGAGACAGCTCTTCTTGAACTCACAGCTTGTGCACTAGATGATTCCTCAGGTCCTGAGTGATGTTCTCATGCCAGGACTTCTTCATGCCAGGTAGTGACAGCGGTACAGATGCAGAAAGGTTCCCTGTGGAGGATTAGCATTTTAGAGGGATCTTTCATCAGACAAACTACATTTACTTATGGACTAGAAAACTGATGCACTTGTGTGCAGAGTTATTAAATGGTCAATTTTATTCAATATAATGCCAGATGAGGTTAGTAATTAAGGTTAATGATGAATATGGTGCATGCCGCTGCTGATGGATGCTGCTGCTTGACTGACGAGAGGAGCCTGAATGTCAGTGTCAGGAGAGCCCAGTGTCACTGAAAACAGAAGAAATCAATGTAAAATTTAATAAATCAA